CAAATTCATCTGGAATAACAAAAAACCTAGGGTAGCAAAAACTATTCTCAACAATAAAAGAACTTCTGGGGGAATAACTATCCCTGACTTCAAGCTGTACTACAGAGCAATAGTGATAAAAACCACGTGGTAGTTTTACAGAGACAGGGAGGTAGATCAATAGAATAGAATTGAAGATCCAGAAATAAACTCACACACCTGTGGTCACCCGATCTTTAACAAAGAAGCCAAAACCATTCAGTGGATAAGAGACATCATTTTCAACAAATGGTGCTGGTTCAACTGGTGGTCAGCATGTAGAAGAATGTATATTGATCTATTATTTCCTTGTACAAAGGTCAAGTCCAAGTGGATCAAGGCCTTCCACATAAAACCAGATAAGCTGAATATAATAGAAAAGAAAGTGGGGAAGAGCCTTGAGCACATCAGCTCAGGGGAAAATTTCCTGAGCAGAACACCAATGGTTCATGCTCTAAGATCAACAATCTACAAATGGGACTTTACAAAATTGCAAAGCTTCTCTAAAGCAAAGGACACTTTCAATAGGATCAAACAGCAACCTACAGATTGGGAAAAGATCTTTACAAAACCTACATCCATCCAATAGAGGGCTAATATCCAAAATATACAAAAAACTCAAGCAGTTAAGTGAAAATTTTCAAACAGAATGTTAAAAATCAAGATGGGCATGATAGCACTCTCCTGTAATTCCAGCACTTGGAGACTGAGGGAGAAGCAAAGCTGTAAGCCTGAGACCAGGTATGTCTACCTAGAAAGTTCCAGAAGAACTTGAGTCACGTGGTGGGACCTTGTCTAAAAAAAGTTTAAATCATTCCCTCATACAAAAATTAGTATGTGTTTAAAATTTTATTTGATTCATGACTGAGGAAACTGGTAAGGTGCTAAAATTAATTTAAAAGAAAATCCAGCAGCAGACACAATTGCAGGTTGGGATGTCTGAAATCAATGAACAAATGCAAGGCCACTTTTCCATAGAGGCTGGCGAGTCAAGCAAACCTCTGCGGGATATAATTTACATGTAAACAGTTCAAATTTTGTTCTATCAAAGTTTCTATTTTTTCTCTAAGGATAATATTTCAACATCTTCCTGAACCCTAAAAATATCGTGCATTTTCCTTTGTGAATACCTGCGATAAAGCTGAACTTATAAACCTAGCAAAGAAGAGGCTGTCAAGAGTAACCCCCCCCAAAAAAAAACAGTACAATAAAAGTCAGGTGAATGTAGTGTCTTGAAAGCACAGAATTTTTCAGACTACTAAATCTTTTCAGACTACTATTGATCATTAGTAACTAATATCCTATCAGTAATTAAAATTAATAATTAACACAAAGTGCAGACAAAAATCAGGAGATTAGTGCACTATTATCTACAACCCAGAGCTGCAAAACAGCTCCTTACAGTCAGAATCAGATAACAAAAAAGGAGTGACAGGATTTTAAGAACACACACTGCCCCACCCCACCCCCAATCTCCATGGATCACTAATTACCTTATTTACTTATTTTTTTCAAGGCCACTGAGCGGTAAATGCTCCATAAACACTTGCTAAACTGATGGATGGATGGATGGATGGATGGATGGATGGATGGATGGATGGATGCTCACTATTTCTCTGCATTAGGTTTGGCCTTTCACACACATCATCCCATTTAATCTTCCCAATTATCCTTTAAGTTAAACATCATTCTCCTGCTACCAATGGGGTCTAGCTTGTATAACATCATGCAGCTACTGTGTCTTAAAGGATGGGGTGAGGCATATCTATGAGGATTTGACTCAGGAAACCCACCTACTGCTTTTCCCCTCTGGTCTAATTAACAATGCTCATTTTAGTTAATGTCATTGGACTGGCTACTTCGAAATCAAGGGGTATTTATATGTTACATTGACAGAAAATGCTTCCTCAGTGAGCGAGAAACCATTTATTTTTGTTTTAAGAAAAAAATAAATAAAGAGCATCCCTCAGCTGAGAGGTAAATAGTCTTGTTCGTGGTCTTTTAGATTAGCACAGTGTATGTACCAGCCCAGACTATTTTGTTTCCCCTTCGGGCACTCCTTTCCTAGCATTCAGGATAACAGAGTAGGATGAATTCAACACTGCTTATATGTGTGGTATGTCGTCTCTGAAAACAGTACAGCACAAAGAAAAACTGCACCAGCCCACATTTAATTGTATGCGCCCTGTGAAGTGGTCACTCTTCTCAGTAGCACCACAAGGGAGGTACTGGAGCTATCTCCCTTGTATAAAAGTGAAGCAAATTGGAGTTCACTGAGCAACTTGCAAAAAAAATCACATGATAATGCTGCAGCCCTGTGCTTTGACCTGTTTCTGCAACAGCTTCTGTCATCTCCCCAAGTCACTCTATTGGCTGCACAGGTGCTGGAGGTTTGCCATGACATTGCATTTTAATTGGTTTTTGTTGTTTGGTTTTGACCCTGGGTCTCATGTATCCCAGGCTAGCCTGTAACTCATTAAATAGTTATGGTTAACCTTGAGCCTTTAACTTTCCCATTTCTACCTCCTAAGTGATAAGATTATAATTGTGTGCCACCATACTTGTTTTATGTTGTGCTGGGGACCAAACCCAGGACTTTGTGGCCTAGGCAGGCACTCTACCAACTTACCTATGATCCTAGCCCCATCTTATTTTTTTCCTTAATTTATTTACTTTATATCCCAATATCAGCCCACTCTATCCCCCCAACCCCCTTCCCGAAGCTCCTCCCCTTATCATAAGTTTCTATGAACATCTCTTCCTTGATTATCATCACAGACTCCAAGGGTACTGGGATTCCAATAACTTCTACCGTCATGGAGCCAGATACTGCAGCCTGCTCCCAATTCTGGAAGTTAAGTTTCTAGCCATGTGGGATTGGGGTAATGGAGGCTCTACATTCATCCTGAAGTAGCAAAGGTCAGAGTTCAAGGAAAGAGAATGGTGTTCTGTGGCTTTCAACAGGTAAATAACAAAAAAGTGTGGATCAGATGTTAATCTGAAATCATTTTCTCTATTATCCTCAAGTCTCCAAATAATTCCCTGCTTTCTTTGCTTGCCAGAAAATAGGCTGGTCTTAGAAGTCAGGGGATTTCCCCCCCTCTTTTTTTTTAAACAACTCCAGATAAAACTTGACATAAATAAGAACACAGTTTTGCATGTAGAAGAGTTGGCTTGGTGGTGTATTTATACCATTTAATTTTCACAGTCTCTGATATTTTACGACTATGTTTATTTTGGAGATAAAGAAGTGAGGTTGACTACCTTGCTGAGTAAGCAGTTTTATCTTGAACTCACCCCCATGGTGGTTTCCTGACTCCACAGGTGTTTTGTGGATACCAAAAGATGCTCTGCAGAGCAGCGTGGCAACCCTACAACTCACACCTAGTTCCCATTCCATTTTTCTAGGTCACTTGGCCAGGTACTTGATTATTTAGTCAACACTGAGGTCATTCACTCTGAGGGAACTGTTTGTCTTCCTTGTATGAGCCTTTATGAGACTCATCTGTCTCCTGAGTGCATACCATAATTCCCACAATTAATAAGTGATACTACTGATCTCAAGTAAGATTGTGACAAGCCAGTGCCATTATCATCATTCAGGAATTAAGGAAGAATAAGCAGCCATTATCTGATGGAGATAACTGTTATCAAGCAAATGGACACTCTGATCAACAGACCCTCTGTGGACTTTTCTTATATGTATACTTCTAATACAAAGGATAGAATATAAAACCTAGACACTACAAAGCTATGTGTCCTCACTACCTTTAGGATTCCTGGAATCTTATTTTAAAGGGCTATTAGCAGTGGTTGGTGGATGTACAGAAAATGACTCTTTTAGAGTTAGAATCTCACACTTTGTTAAATCAGCTTGAGCTATACCTGGACATGTTTATTGTGTAATTAATTATTCATTACTTAAATGGCAAGACTCTAAAGTGATCCAGCTATACGTTTTCAAAAATCTTGAGTGTCTAGAACCCTGGTACCATGATAAGCTTCCTCACTGAATGAACTATGTATAATAGTCATGACAGGGGCTGCTCCTGGTGACACCCTCTCCTCAATCTCATTTACTTCATCCTTGTTTCTCTATGACTCAGGGTGCCATTGAATTCACTCTGAGAAACCCCTCCTCAAAATGTGATCTAGGCAGGTGTGAGATCTGCTCTAGATAACAGAGTTTCGAGTGAAGTCCAGATATGATCCTGATGCTGTAGTGGTGGGCATGAAGGTGGGTATATTCACTTCCTCTCCCATGCCATCCCCTGCCAAGGGCAGTGACAGCAAAGTCCTTTGCAGCACGTTCTACAACCCTGCTTTTCTGATTTCAAATCCTTCTTTAACCCTTCAGTGGAAGGCTTTAATACCCTTGATAGAAAACTAGTTTCACTATATGACTTAAATGTGTTTATCTCAGTGACAGTAAGGGAACAACTTCACTTTAGAAACTTAGACACTCTTGGGTGGGGACAAAGCAGAGTGGCTTCACTTTGTATGACAGGAGATGCCTGGTTTGGCAGGGAAAGTGACTTTCTACTATTGATTCTTCTACATCATTAGTTACACATATGTAGCTAATCAGTCAGAAAAGTCAATATGATTGTTCTAATGAGAGAAAATAGGGAAAGATTCTCCTACGTAGAAACTCTGCCTCTTCACAAAATCCCTAACCATGTTGGTTTGAACGACTTTACTTTCTCTTTTCACCAGGACTGATGTTTTCTTCCTTACCTTAGATCCACCAACCACCTGCCCCATACATCTGCATTAGATGTTCAAAATCTACTTTAGTGTACTAACTACCTGATTCATTCAATATCACGGTCCATGCTGTCTGGAATTTATTGCCTATTTTAAAGCAAAACATATCAAGAATCTTCAGCAGGAAGATTTTTGTGTATGGGTAGAGAAAGGCCATCATGATGGGAGTGGGAGGAGAATGGGATGAGAGGAGCCTTGGATACTGCAGACTTTACCAGTTATGTCATGTTGTTTGAATGACTCACTGTAGATCTGATACTGATTTGGACAGTGTTTCTTCAGCCACTTGCAGACATCCTGCTGGGTCCACAGGGCCACTGGTTTTGACAGCTTCACTGTTGCTGACTGTGGAGAAAGAAAGAAAGAAGTGTGTGTTAACGTTGCCCCATGCCTAGAAAGGCACTTATGTTCAACATCCTAGCGTGCTTGGTAAAGACCATAGACTGAATTCTCTGAAGGGAAATACGTGGCTTTTATTTTTCCCTAATATCTGCTATCTTCCTCAATATTGAACACACACACACACACACACACACACACACACACACACACAAGATACAAGAAGAAAAGTCAATGTAAAAATTTTACCTGATCATGGGGTTATTAGTTCTACTGGGAAACCTCTAGGAAGTAGTATTTTCCAAATATTCTAGCAACAAGATAATAGGGTTGTTAAGCAAGTACCTAAGGCTTTAGGGGTAAAATAGCCATTGCCAAATGCTTTTCTCTGTTTGCTGGAGGTATCTAGGTCTTCTCCTTGTAACCCCTGGCGCCTACAGCACTTGGCCCAGCAGGTGAGAATAATTATTTCAGGACTGAATGTTAGAGAACTTAGATACCAGCATACTAAAAATGCTAGTCTGCCTGGAGGCTCTGGACTCAGGGTGGTCCTGTAAAGCCCAGGAACATTAGTCATGCCACAGTGAGAAAGCAGGGAGTCAATTCTGCCAGCATGTGGGGAATGGTAATAAGATAATGGGAATCCTTAGGCTTTATGTAGAAGCCAACTAGTCAAGGCCTTTTACTGCTCACTGGATGTTCCAGCACTGACCATAAGTCATGAAAAATAAAAGTAAAATGATTTAAAAAACCCTAGGGTGTGAAGGGCCGAGTCTTTGATAAATGGTGGATTGCAAATACATTTATTAATAAGCTATGGCTCTGTTGTCTCCCCCATGGATCCCAGAAACTTGGGTTAGGCTACCTGAAATCACCTACATCAATAATTTCATTTTTATCATTCTGGACCACTGTTTGCCAAAATAGTAGGGCAGAAATATTGAGAAGTCTTTCAAATATATTCATTGCTACAGAGAGCCAGGCATTATTTTCTTACATTCTTCTTTTAACCTGTTAGATTAAGGCAAGGAGAAGGTCTTAAATTGGCAGGAGTGTGAATTATGTCTTTCAAACACTTGTTAACATTTTATTTTTATTTTACAGACAATGATTTGCTTCAGTTTTAGAACATTCAACAGAAAACAGTAGGTCTTCCATGTAGTTATTCTTTGTTTACTTCTTATTAACCTTTACTTATGCCAAAGAAACTATGACACAAAATGTATTTTCTATAATATTGTCTAGTTTTTTTAAACATCTTTTAATTACGTCCCCTACTGTGTCCCAATTTTAAGAACAAAAAAGTATTAAGGAAGAATGATAAGATAATGAGATATTTACCAAGAGATGGAGAGAAGGGAAGGGAATATGCAACACTTAGATGATACTTTTTATTAATATGCTTTTAATTAAATGACTTCTTGGGTCATCACATACCAAATAATTACAAACAATGCTTTCCCTTTTTATTTCTTGATGTGTGGTAATTTGAATGCAAAAGGCTACCATAGGCTCCTACATTTCAATATTTGGTCCCCAGGTGGGAAAACTATTTGGGAAGGATTAAAAGGTATGGCTTTGTTGTGCCACAGGGTGTGGCTTGAGCCATTCCTAGTGTCCCTCTCCCTCTCCCCTCCCCCTCCCCTCCCTCTCCCCCGTCCTCTTCCTCTCCCCCTCCCCCCCTCTGCATTGTGGTTATAGATCCAGATGTGAATTTTCAGCTGTTCTTTCCCTTCACCATTATGGGATCTAACTCTCTGAAACTATAAGCCAAATTAAATATTTTCTTTTATAAGTTTGACAATAGTATGTGTTTCATCACAGCAATAGAAAAATAACTAAGACATCATGCAATAATTTTTAATGCTTATCAAATTTCATTATAGTTTTGTAAAATGATGTCATATATGTATATCTTTACATATATGTGTAAATACTTTATGCAGTATGACTGATAATACTTTTTATGATACTAGCAGCTAATATTTCCAGCCTTAAACTTCAGCAAGACATGTGACCATCCTGACCAATGGAGAACAGTGAAATTCATGCTATATTAGTTCTGAGGCTGGATCATAAAAGACACAGTTTCTATCTGGCTTATACTTCAGTGTTCAATGTGGGAGCTCAATCACCACACTGTGAGGACATCCAGACCACATTATGAGATCATATATAGGAGTTTCAGTCAATCCCTCCCTTGATATCTGCCATCAACCATTAACAAACAAAGAAGCAAACAAACAAACATCAGAAAATTGTAGCCCCAAGTCTCTGAATCTTCTGGCTGAGAATCAGACACTGTAAAAGAGAAGCTTCTAATGACCCAAATGAATTTTTGGCTTATCACTAGGATTTGTGGTAGTTTGATCTACAACTCTAGTAATGAGATCACAAAAGAGCTTCTCTATCAATCAGTGCACTCCCCTGAGTGTCCTTTGTGTAACAAGATGGATGTTGCCAAGTACAGGCAGAAAGAGCAATGAACTGATATAACTTTCGTTCCATCAGTGTTCTTAAGCATGGCTCACCATTCAGAAGTAGGCTTCAGGACCAACACTGGCTGCTTTTCCCTGTGATATCCTGAGCTCATGTGGCTCCTTAATCAAACATGGCTGCCTCTGCCTACTATCCTTCTGCTCTATCTAAGGATGCAGCCATTTTCTCCTTCTATTTGAAACCATATGGACTGTTTTCCTAATCCTGATTGGAGAGAACTTTGGGCTTCAAGAATTCCAATGAGCACATGGTTTTATAGCTGCTGTTGTTTGGCTGCTTGATGCTAAATCTTTTTCTTTGGCCCACCATGTCATTCTTTCCTTCACATGATCAAGAACACTAGTATTTGAGAGATTTTAGGCAGAGATGCACTTTGTAGCATGTTTCACAACTCAGCACCTCTGAATCTGGCTCTTTCCTACTCTAAAACTTTTCCCTCAGATTAGCTGAATGAGTTTATAGCTGACACAACATTACCCTGAAACTCCTGAAAGTTTCTTTCAAGTACAGCTAATCACATTTTTTGAAGACTCCTATAAACCAGTCAGCGAAGACTATAAATTAGGACAGGGAAGGCAGGAGGATGAAGTTGCTTATACATCAATACATTAAACTCCCTTTTCTTGAAAGGTCATCCTTTAACTTGCTTATTACCCAAGGAACAGAGGACTCGAGCCTGGCTTCAGAGGATGATTCACCCAAACGTGTCAAGTCAACTCAGAATGGATCCTCAACGGCCCTTCACTGGTGCTCATCTTAGCTATATTTTTTATATCAGCAACTCAATGGTTCTAAACCCAAGGAGACCCCTCATTTTCCCTTCAGACCATATTATATTATATTATATTATATTATATTATATTATATTATAATTAACTGTGAATTTGGGGATATATGCCTTGAACGAAGTAAACTTGAGCTTGAGACTGTGTGATATTATTGGGATCTGCTCACATGTAAACATAGACAAGTGAAATGAAGGGTGGGGTTGAGTTTCTCCTATTAAAATACACTGGTTCATCTCTCCCTAACCAATGGCGATTCAAGGTCATGACGCTATTTAATCATCTGACCCTTACCCATGGCTGCATTGTGAAATTGTTATTAGTCTGCTACACATTAGCTTGTGAAGGTGTAGCATTAAGGAGTCATAATGACACCAATCTTCAATTTGTTCTATATTTTTAGATTTACTCTGCCTCCACTTCTCTTCAGTAGCACCGAGATGGTCCTCAGTCATATCTCCTTGTAGCATCACCATTAGCTCCATCCCAACAGCAATCAAGTTTTGAGAGTAAATACCATACACTGATGGCCTTGAAGACCTGAACCTTTACTTCTCTGTGTGAATTGGAACAACAGGTGAATCTATTCCCATGCATGAGATTAACATATTGCCCTCTGCAGAAGGTAGGAGCAGGACCTGCATGGGTGTCTCATCCTTCCCCTGCCCTCCTTTCTTTTGCCTTCCTGCATCCACACTCTTCTCTGTATCCATCACTACACGATCATTTTCTCATTTTTAAAATAGCTGCCAGATCTTCTTTTTCCCTCACAGTAGGAGTGTAAACCAAAATAATAGCAGTCCAAACAGCTGAGATAAAGAATTTCGTATCTTCTAGGAACAGTAAACTAATAAAAAAAAAAGTTCTGCCCAAAGGCAAGCATCAAAAAAACATTTACCACAGTCCTTTTTCTGTATGTTCAGTTCTACCACATCATTCCTCCGTTTACAACCCCAGAGACAAGTTTGGTTTCTTGTGCTGCCCTGAAAGAAGCCTGAGGCAGTTTATTATCTTAACCTCTGTGCATTGTGACATGAAGCAGGATTCCAGACATTTCCTTTCTAAACTAGTTCTGGTCTTTATATTGACAAAATGAAAATGCATTTCAGACACTTTCACTTTCTCTTTTACAGGGAGACTTTATGCAAGACTCATATCCTCAAGGGACAGGTTGTTTGCAAAACATCATTATTTTTGCAAATGATACTTATTTGAATTTATCTCAATACAATCATTTCATCTATGTTTTATAGTAATTTATAATGTGTGTTTAGCCAGAGAGAGTGTGAACATGGAAGCAAAGGGAAGGAGGGCAGGACAAGGATGAGACATCCATGTAGGTCCTGCTCCTACCTTCTTCAGAGGACAATACACTAATCTCACACATGAGGATAGACTCAGTCTGCTGTTCCAATTCACACACAGAAGTAAAGGTTCATGTCTTCAAGGGCATCAGATTATGGTGTTTACTCCTAAAACCTGATTGCTGTTGGGATGGAGATATGCCTGAGGATCATCTTAGTGCTACTGAAGAGAAGTGGAGGCAGAGTAAATCTAAAAACTAGAGCAAACTGGGGATTGCTGTCACTATGACTCTTGAATGCTACACCTTCGCAAGCTAATCTGTGGCAGACTTATAACAATTTCACAATGCAACGTTGGCTACAGATCAGCTGATAAGTAGGGTCATGACTTTTAGTCACCATTGATTAGGGAAACATG